AACATTATTTTATATAATATATATATATGTACATTTTAATATAAATTTTTATGCTATATTAGTACTCCATGTAATTCAGTTTTCCTTTAAAAACTGCAAATTGGTTTTAATTAAACAGATTGATTGATTGATTGATTGATTGAGTAACATGGCCCGCTCTTGTTTGGGCAATACCCTACTACAATATAGCAATACTCGGTGCTAACCTCACAAATTGTCCCCAGAGAAATAGAGAAGCACCACAACGTCTCACGTATTATGCACCTCGACATTCTGCCTGTTTTAATTGTGCAGCAAAGATTACACAATTCCAGCAACCAGTCCTACACCTTACCAATTCCAAGAACCATCCAGTCCCAAAATCTTATATTCCAGCAACCAACCATGCAGTTCCAAAACCTTGTCAATTCCAGCAACCAGTCCCACAACTTTATCAATTCCAACAATCAGTCCCAAAACCTTATCTATTCCAGCAGTCAGTCCCACAACCTTGTCAATTCCAGCAACCAATCCAAAAACCTTATTAATTCCAGCAACCAGTCCCTAAACCTTATCTATTCCAACAACCAGTCCCACAACTTTATTAATTCCAGCAACCAGTCGGTTAAAAGCATTTTAGCCTGCTAATTTGTTCATTTTAGCCCGCAAAATAGCTACAACGCCCGCTAAAGTTATATAATACATGGCTATCAGCTTTGATTTGGTTCCAGAGGCTCTTTGCGAAGCGACAGAAACAAGAGACTAGAAGGAAGAGCCTCTGGTCACATCAGTTGCAAATCCCACTTCCACACGATTAAGTTCAGAATTTGAATCTCGCATGTGATTGGCCATTTGTAAAAATATGTCAAACCGGTTCGGGAAATAAACATTACTGTAAGGTATTTATATCTATAATAGCTATTATAGTTATAATTCTAACTTCCAATTGACTAACTTACAAAATGTATAAAATTGTAATAATCTGTTTAAATGTAATTGTTTATATTCAATTGTCAATAATTATATCAAACCCAGTGGCTGCCAGGCGGAGACATTTATAATTGTAACTTCCAATTGACTAACTTACTAAATGTATATTATTGTAATAATCTGTTTAAATGTAATTGTTTATATTATTGTCAATAATTATTTTATTATTTTTGTTATAAATTTTAGATCGCAATGCAAGGAGGCATATATTAATAATACAACTCTGAGTTTCACGCTGAGTGCGATCGTCAGGTGACGGCGTTACAAGTGACGGTTGAATCACAGAGTAAATATACATATGCAGAGCTGTAACTGACCGTTGTAAACACTGCGAAACTTACGTTTTCATGTACCCACTTTTTTCAGGCGAAAAATGATCAACTGCGCGTGCTCGGCAAGTTCCACGAGCAGCTGAAGCGAGTCGTCATCCAATCACATGCATGCATCTAGTAACTTGCCGAGCATGCGCACAAAAAAAGTGGGTACACTAGTTACAACTCTGTATATGTATTTACTCTGTGGTTGAATCTTCCGTATGATGACGTTGGACTTATATTTGGATTATACGCGTGATGGCACAGCACGCGCGCGTTCAAACTTTCCAAAACTATTGAACAAGAAGTGCCGCCACCGGAAGCGATTCCTCGCGGGAAAGTTTGAACGCGCGCTGTGCCATCACGCGTATAATCAAACATAAGTCCAACGTCATCATACGGAAGATTTAACCACACATGAAGTAAATACAGATATAAATCTCCCGTCAAATTGCTGATTCTTTTGTGTCACACGGAATTCGCACTTCCGGCGAGCGCTGGCAAGTGTCGTTCTGAAATTTAATAAGGAAAGTAATAGGAAAACGCCGTTCGAAAGACGAAAAAATTTTTTTTAAAAGCTGCGCTACCAACGGCTATTTTTGGACTGAATTTTTCAATTTTTCATTTTGCTGGAAATTTCAGATGCTCATGTATAAATAACAAAACAACGAATGATATAAAATCCTCAAAATATAACTCTCGCATAAAAAACATGAATATTCTATAATATGTATAGTTTTATTTCTCTGCATTATCAAAATTTAATAAAATAGTGAATTAATTTAAAATTATAGTGAATATAATTTAAAAGTTTATTTGATCGGTGTGACATAATTTGCCGCGAGATTCGTCTCTGTATATCTCTCCTCTGTGATTCAACCGTCACTTGTAACACCGTCACCTGATGATCGCACTCAGCGTGAACTCACTTGTGACTCTGTGAGTTAGGTTAAAATACTATTTGCTCTGTTAAATACTTGATGTTCAGCACTCTTTTTACTTACTTACTTACTTAAACATTTATTTAACCACGCTGGCCATACACAACATAGTTGTAAAAATACAATGAGTTGATTTTCAGATGGGGCGTGTTGTACTTACAAACTATCTTAACTCACATCCTAGTCTCCGGTATAGTGGACATACTGCGTTTAAATTGGTAAAGCGAGGATGCATTTTTCGCCTCAGAAGGAAAACTATTCCACAGCCCATTGCACCACTACAGTAAAACTTCGTTTAAGATAGTTTGTTTTAGGTTTTGGTATTAATAATTCATGAGGAAAATACAAAAGAAATGAATGTTTAATCAATGTTTGTAAATCGGATAAAGATTTGTCCTGATTTACATAAACTTCAGCCTTGATTTTCTCGCTTTAGACAATGTTTATTAACGTGCTTAAAAAACTTTAAGCACGTTAAAACGTTCGCATCCGATCTTTATCTGATACTATACATACACGATATTTATCTGATATATATTTATCTGATATATATTTATCTGATATATATTTATCTGATATATATTTATCTATATATATATATATATATTTATCTATATATATATATATATATATATATATATATATATATATATATATATATATATATATATATATATATATATATATATATATCTATCTATCTATCTATCTGATAAAGATCGGCTGCTCATGTTTTAACTAGTACAAAACACTCGTGATAAAGCACTCCTAAGCGTGCTTTAAATTTCGCGCTGTTTGCGTTCCTGTATACACTGGGAGCGCCTGATTGGTTGTCCAGTTGATATTATATAGGTGTATTATAGGTGGTGGATTCCTGGCTGCTGGTATCAATGGAACGATTGGAATGTGCGTTTCTGGATGTGAGGAATTGTTGTTGTAAAATTAGTATAGTGTTTGTGTTAGTAGTAGTATACTTAGTATAATAGTATTTGGACTGGTAGCTTTTTTAGTTATTCATTCGTGTTAGAACACTTTCCCGCAACACACACACACACATGCATGTGACAATTGCCATACATTCAACTGAACGGCTACTAGGACAAGCGCCAACTATATAAACATTCCCACGAATTCAAAGAACTATGGCGCAGCATGGACAATAACACAATCAACATTGACAGCCTAGTCCCAGGCTCTCTCTCTATTCGTGGCTTTGATATATTTAAATAAGTCTTAAAAGTTTTATGCCTGGGTGTGCTGTGCGGAACGCTTCAGCGAGAGAGCCTAGCAGATTTCGGTAAAACGGTCCCTGATTTAAAAAATGTGGTCCCTGGCCTGGTTACCAAGCATACCTCATTTGTAAATGGAAAATGTTATGGAAATTTCCTTTGCATTTATAATTAAGTGATTAGTTTTGCTCTAATGCTGTCGGAACAATGAAATAGGGTACGTTTCGCTGCCATACGGTCAGAATGGAATAACAGGCTAAATATGACTCGTGTTTACTAAAATATATAGCCATATTAAATGCTATCTAGAAGCTTGAAAAATATGCTGAGTCTCCGACTAAAAATGTTTTGACAACACCGTCATGTCAGGCAAATATTTCCAATCTCCTCAGCAATTTAAACCTGTCAAGTAGAAAGCGTAGATGTGTATACCAGTATGGTCTAGTGTTGATCACAACTTGCGAGTATATAAATAACATCAACGATTGCTCAAACTTGGTATCGTAAATTTGTATATAATTTTTTTTAGTTGAGCACATTTTTAATACGGTTTGATTTGGTTATGTAGACATCGAACATGTACATGATGAACGAACATTGTCGTATTTATAATTAATAGGTTACTTGTATATATAAATTTTCCGCCATATTAAAAATACTGAAATCTGCTAGGCGTTCTGAAGCACCTTGAGCGGCGACGTCACACCTAGGTCCCAGTCTCGTACTACATCCACTTTTTTCTCGCGCTTGCTTCAGAACGACTGGGACTAGGCTGCAACATTGACATTTCAACGATCTAACTTCAACTTAAAAGCAACCTAATACTACTTCTATTAACAATAGGCCCAGTAAACCTGGTTCACTCGCAAGTGGCGAGATGTCGCCTCGTTTAATCGTATATTGTTTTTATATGTTTTTGAGAATTTTTCTCCCGTTTGAGCGAGATCTCGCCTTCCCGTGTTCATATGAACACACTTGAAGCGGGCCAGCCCAGCAAACCGGCCTGGAAATTGTGTCACAGCGCTTTCTTTATTCAATCTAGAACGCATCTACGAATTCAAAAAAGTAAGAAATCAACAATGTTAAAACTTCTGAAGCAGTTTTCATCAATAGAAATAGCATTTGCAGGGTTAAAACAAGTATCATTTTCCGCCAAAAATCGCGCGAGAATTTCTTACAGAGCTTACCAGGCTAGCCCGCCTCATGTGAAACAAATAACAACTTGGCCCTGCGAAGCGAGCTAGCGCGGCTCATGCATGAACAGGCCCTTATATACTAATTTTCCAACAACACTTCCGGCTTTCACATCCAGAAACGCACACTCCGATCAGCATGCAGCAAGGAAATTTATCCCAAGAAATTAGATCGTCATGAACACCCACGCAATCAGACGCTAGCTCCCAAACAGGGCGCTTATATATAGGGCGGTGAAACGGCTATAGGCGCGCCGATCGATGTGTGATGCAATGAACTGGTAACGAGTTTGTTGTGGTTACTATGGCGACGTTGTCTTATGGCAAGGATAAATATGGCGGGAAAACTGAGCTGGAAGTTTTGACTGTTTTGTAGTCAAGTTTTGATGAAGAAATTGATATTGGGGGTAAAATTCCGATGTTATACGATAATTTAGTAGATTCTGCTATTGTATTTTCAGGTAATACTGCCAATATTTTAGAGTTTTTGCTCAAAACGCTTGCGAAAGCTTACGAACGGTTGCTTTCGCAAGAAGCATGACGTGAAAGGTTTTTAAAACTCTTTGTACGTAC